TTTCACAAACTTTTACTTTAATTTTATTAGTTTATTTTTAAGTTTTAACCTTTATTTGGGGTCACCGGGGGTGAACACTTTAAATTTATTCCATATCTTCTGTGATCATAGGCTAATTTCTTTTCCAATTTAAATCCCTTATATTCCCCCTTCTGTCCAACATAAGGCGTCATACTCAGAAATCGAATAGACTCGGTATTGCTTACTGGGGCGGCCATTCATTCCACCAAACCTTTTTCTTTTTTTTGTCTTTTTTTATACAAAGTCTAAGAAAAAATACACATGAAAAAGACTTGCCTACCGCATGTACTTATCTCCCAAAGTTTCCACTGCTGGCAAATACAAATGAGGGTTCAAATTTTAAAACTAATGAATAAAATTTAAGTAGAATTTGTGGAAAATTAACAATAAAATACTTTCTTCGCAAAATCTATAAAGAAACCTTCTATTTCAAAAAAAAAAAAAATTGTAACAGTTATTCGTCGCTGAAATGATCAAACAGTTTTTGTTTTCATGAAGCAAGACAATCTCAACACGATATCGTCCAAACGATTGTCGTCGTACGTGATTCATGCTCAGGTTGGATGAGGTTTGCTAGGAGCGCATGCACTTTTTAAGGTTTTAATTTATAAACACTTTTTATGTAATATTGGTAATGGAATTTATTATTTACCATAACGATAAAAATTAGTTATTAATACCTCTGCAATTTTCACAAAAACAGCTTTGTGATGTTAGAACTCATCTGGGACTTACCTGTCGTCACTGATGTTAATCCTGACTTTGCAATTTAAAAGTATGTAAATTTTTCTGTCAAGCGTTATGCAAGGTCAGCATTAGCATGACCGATGACAGTTAAGTCTTTGGTGGATTTTTATATCAGGCTCTCATATTTGTTAAAAATGCAGATAGAGGGTATTGAATACATATAAGACCTCGACATTCTTGTGTATATGTGCGTATACATATGTAAGTATATGTATATGCTGAATGAAATTACTAAGATAAAAGTTTGCATTAGAAAAAAGCGGGGCAACCCTCATGGAAAATGTTTCTGGATTTTAAATATCTTTCGTTGGATATCCATATTAAATTGTTTTAGTTATAAAATAGGTGGCAACCCTATTTAAAAATATTTCTGAATTGGGTTTTTTTTTAAATACTTTCCATTTGATACCCAAGGTGTTATTTTATTTGTAACAAATTGAAAATACAAAATACAAACCGTTATCTGAAGACAAAATCTCATCAAAATCGTTACAGCAGTTTCCGAGGAACCTATGGATATAGTTACGTATACATATGTACAAGAATTGCTCGTTTGAAAGTAATAAGAATAAAGAGCAAAAGTTCCCTCTTACTAGAGCTATAAAACTATTGAGTCATCCGATTCGATGTTTTCGACAGTTTGCTTTGAAACTATCTATACTATCGATAGTATCGGATAATTTTCAAATGCATTGACGAAGCTATTTATATAAACTTTTTAGGTTTGTTTAGTTTCTGAAGAATTAGCTAATTGTTATATAGCGATTTTCAGGAACTTTGTCCTTTCTCTTCGATATTTAAAATATTATAAACCGATAATATATAAACCTAAAATGGGTTGACTTTAGTGTACTTCGACATGTGTGTGTTTTAGCAAAACTATATCGAATTTTCTCATGAAACTTTACGAGGATGCTTAGAAACAGATATGTTTACATTAATTCTCAGTATTTTCACTTTTTAATACCAGTATTTAAGTAATTCGTTGTTTAAATTTTTTGCACTTCCATTAGCAAATTTTCATATAAAAAGTGCTGCTATGTGTGTTCACGTGTGATTTGTGTACATTAAATGTATTTTAGTTGTAGAATATTTTTCCATAACTTTGTACTTTGTGCTCGGGATTTTTACCTCACAAAATTTATTACAAACTATCCTCGGCAGGGAAACATGATGAAAATATCCGACAACTTTTGAAGCAGGGGTGGTATTCAACGGATTATTTCCAGGCTCGGATTTCGGCCAAGCGCAATGCAGTGAATAGCATCCGGAACGAGCTGAATTGCAAAGCGTACCTTCGAAGGGTTCCACTTCTCTTCCATCTTATAGAACTTCTTTACTTTTACAACATTCTCATGGTAGTCTTCTTATTTGGATTGTCTCATGTTTAAGATGCAATCTCTCATTCAGCAAACATTTTTTGGCGCAGTTTCGCCTAATGAATATTTCCTCTATTCACAAAATTTGAAAATTGCCCCCACACCACGACATATTGGGCAGGCAATAGTGCCCTAGAAAAAACAGCAAGCTGTGTGTATTTTGTTGTTCGTTTTGAAATTCCCTATACGCAAACAAAGTTTGAAATTTTAGAGTAAAATGTAAACAAAAATGACAATTTAAAGACGAAATTCTCGACAAAAGTAAAATGCTTTGCTTCATACAGAATATTCAACGTGAAATACGTTGAAAAAACCTTTGAAAATCTAAATACTTGTAAAATTTATTTTAGAATAAATATCTATTTTTTCTACGCAAAATTATATTTCAGAAACCACATAAGGGCTCCTCGATTCGAATTACAAGCATCAAGATTTAAAAATAAAAACTGTTAAGGCACAAACTACCGAATACGGGACAAATACGGGACATTAAAAGAAATACAGAACATTTGGCGTCCCGTATGAAATAAATAAATTACCAGGACAATTGACGAAAAGAGAGGACTGTCCCGTATAATACAGGACGGATGGTCACCGTATATGAGTAGTCCACTTGTACACAGCGTTATGTGATCATATAATAGTAAGCCATAAATTAAAAAAAACTTCTACAACAACAAGTAGCATCCAAATTGTATATTTCTTTTTATTATCTGAAAATTTGGATAAATAAGAGCCTAATAACATTAAAAACCAAAATCGCAGTGTGGTAGTTTTTGCAAATTTTATATATAAAACATTTAATATAGCGAGTTTTTTAACAGTAACTTTTACATAGCCAGCTTTTTTTAGCTTTTCGCGTTCTCTCTTCCATGAAGATTGGTCTGCTTCTTTTTTACGACGTCTTCCATTAGGCACTGAAACTACCACGTTTTCTTGCTTCTCTAAGTTCATCAGAAGATGGAGACTTTTGAAAGTGTGTATATTAGGGATGTCAAATTTCGGGGTTTTGTCGATCCCGGGATTTTCGGGATCTGAAAATACAATCCCGGGATCCCGGGATTGTCCCGAAATTCAGGTAAAAGTGCAACACATCTTTGAACACCCTATTATAGTATTTTAAATCAGATTGATATAACAAAAAAAAGTACAATTTATTGTAATTCATTTACATATTTATTAAGGCGATAACTCAGTATTTTCAATCAACAAAAAACAAACATAAAATTTTACAAACATATAGGTACCCTGCAAACCATTTTTTCAGAGTATTCTGAATCGTAAAGAATTTTTAAAGAATTCGGAAAGATCCCATCCGATTTTTTGCCGAATTTTCTAAAATGAAATAAATTACGCACACTTCCATTCTTTTACGAAATTTCGGAAGAAAATCGGTAAAGAAATGAAAATAATGCTGCTATGTGAACAATTTCGTGCAGACTTTTTTCAGAATTTTCTTTATTTTTCGTACAGAAATTTCTTTACGAGTTCGTGTCAACCACTTCATATAATTTTCTTTGAAGATTCGGAAAAAAATCGTTACAGAAATCAGATACTCCTAAAGATTTCGTTAAAATTTCGGGAACTTTGGTTTGCAGGGTATGTATGTACATATCCTCATTAATTTATAACATAGTTTTTGTACTACAAGTACAAATGCATATACGGTCCCTCCCAGAAATATTTTTTTTGTTAATTTAAAAAAATATATACGTATGTGCAATTTTGAAGTTGCTAAAATATCCCGTTGACATTTTATATATTTTTTTTTGCCACAAAAAAATTCGTTATAAGGAAGAAAATGCCCAACATTGTCAGTGAAAAAAATTCAAAAATCAAGGGAGTTTTTAGCAACTTTAAAATTGCACTTTATTGTATTAAATTGAATGGGCTATAAAACTGCATAATAGAATGTTTTCTAAAAATTATGATTAAAAAGTTTGATATTTTTATGATAATTTGGTGAACTTAAACTACCTTTCTCTAAAGTGTGAAATTTTGATTTACATGATTTTTGTTGTAAAATGAGCTATATATTCTTTTTAATTAACAAAAAAATACCATGAAAAATATTTTGAATATTGAAAAAAAAAAACGATGCCAAATATTTTTGTAAGTGACTGTATTTGGTACAGCAGTAACTGCCTATGTAACTATATAAAATTTTTTAAATCACTGTTTGAGATAAATTTAAGATATTATCAGTATATTTAAATAATAATAAAAAAGTTAACACATTTAAGTAAAAAATAAATATATAAGTGCATCACCTATTCCATTTTGACCGAAGCAAAATTATTCCTTCTTTTGATGGAAATGCGATCTTAAAGAAATTATAGCAAAAAATTCTTGTTTTGCCCTTGAGAGGGGATATTTGTGATAAAAATTTAATTGGCTAACAAAAAAATGGTTTCCAGCGATCCCGGGATTTAAATCGACTAATCCCGGGATATTCGGGACTTAAAAAAGACCGGGATCCCGGGATTGACATCCCTAGTATATATACATACAGTAAGTATTATAGCGACTTTTGCTAGAGTAGCTAACAATTGATGCTATTTTTTTCAGAATATATAAGGATTTTGCACTGTATTGTAAACTAAAAATTTAACAAATTTTACATAGAGCACTATGCAAGTGGACTACTCATATATGCATATAAATTCCTAAGTAAATACTTCACAAAAATGACACAATTTTACACGCAAATATCTGTTATATTTTTTAAACATTCGGTGTTGATTTCACACATTTTTATTATTTTAAATTTTTTCTCAGTTTCTACACACTTTATTTAAATTCCGTTCATTAATCTGGGATTTTGCAGCTTATTTAAATATATTTGAATCTTACCCATTTTAATACAGAATAAAAACTTGATTATAATCACACAGTCTGCGCTTTAAACATGCGATGGAAAAAACTGGCTCTATATCTTTCTTGCTGTTCACTATAAAGTCTACTAACTTTGATTAACTATTTTACTTGTTTTAATAAAGTGAATGTATAACAGCTTGCGATGAACTTGCCTTAAGTCAAGTCGCAAAACTAACTACTCAGCGAACCGGTATGCGTTTGCGCAACACAACACACAAAAAATACTTTATAATGTACTATTTCAATGTCTCCTTGTTCTCAACTACAGTTAGTCACAATATCCATTCACCAGAGCGATTATAAATTGACTTTCCAATGTTGGAAGTACAACACGTATTTTAATTGTCCTATTCAAGCACCCGTTTCAAGTGGTACCGAGCTCGCACAAAGCCATACCGAATCTCACCGACACCGCGAATGAACTGAACCGTTTGAACCGTCATGCCAGAGTAAGTGTTCAACGTTGACTTACTAGCCACCCGCACACTTAACTTGCAAATCTCGTCTTCAAGTGTCCACCTCTATCTCATTATATAAATTTATATGTTTTTATTATAGCAACAAATTAAATGGTCAAGAGTGGTCGCATTAGACAGTAATATGCATGTTCTCGTGCTGTATAAAGTAGTTCAATTTGATTGCTTTCACCATTATGAGTAAGATTTCATTTGTTCGACGTGTTGGCGATGAGCGTTTTCAGTTGAATGCAAATACGAGGGTTTATGATAAGAGTAGGTACTCGTATTGCCTATTCATAGAGGAGAAAAAATATGCATGCAAAATTTTTAATTTTGAAGTCGCACACGATATGAATAAAAGTGGTGTGGTAAGACAAACGTTGGACATTGGAAAAAACATGGTCAAAACCCTCGCAATAGAGCTAAAAATATTGTACGCCTGATTTTTTTCTTCGTTTTATGCAATTTGGATACATACATACGTATTGAGTATGCACACAAATAAGTTTGACTTCAGTTTGATGATTTCACAGTCCTTCAAACTCGTAAAGTCTTAAACTGTGTAAAACTCGTAAGTTTACGAGACTGAACACCCTCTTGGCGAAAATGTGTAAATAGGTGCGTAAAGTGCCTGTTTGACAGATCAACCAGGATTGAAACAATTTTTGTATACTTTTAGGCAGGCTCATCCCAAACTATTTATTTGTTAATTTTATTGTGGCGTATTAATGTTTACTAGGAGTGCCAGTTACTGTCGAAATTCGATCGTTTTCCTAGGTTTTTAAGGGCCTTGGAGAGATTTTCTAACTTATCACGTCGTTTAACTTATAATGTTCTAAAAAACTACTTACTCCTACTTTGGAACTAAAACGTCACTACAATTTTTTAATTGACCCGATACATTCCAGTTTGCCGATAAATTTCGATAATTTGAGACATATCGATAATTCGCCGAATTTCAAAAACACTAAAATCCGATAGCTCAACAATAATGGATAATTCGACTAATTTCGATAATTTTCGATAACTGTGGGTTTCGAGGGCTCGACAAATTACGATAAATCAAAACTGTGTATATCTCGATATAAATCGATATCTCGATAAACTTTGGATACCTCTGTAAATTTCGATAACTCGGACAAATTTGATACCTCGATATTTTTTGAAAGCTACTGACTAATGACGATAACCCGTTACAGTCTGGTAACACGATTAAATTTGATAAACAGTGATAACCCTATATATATTTATTTAACTTTGAAATTTCAATTACCCGATATATTTTGAAAACTCCAAAAACTTTGACTCGATGAATCGATACATTTTAGTAAATCGAAAGCTATCGATAACTCGATAAGTTGAAAGAACTCAATGCATTACGATGACTCGATAAATTTCGTTAACTCTATAAATAATAATAATTCAATAAATATTTATAGCTTTATAAATTTCATTATCTTGACAAATCTCGATAATCCCATATAGTTTGATAATTATCCGAAAACTTCGACAATTAGTTGATCAATTTGAATAGTTCGAATACTGTCCATAGCAACATTTTTTAAGTCTGAATTTATTTCGACTCCTACCGAAAAAAATTTAAATACATTTCTTACCCTTTCAGTTAACCTAATTTGTATGTATTTCTCTTTGTTTTCATTTTCGTTTTTATCTTTAATTTTGCCTTCACTTTTTGTCTTAGGGCCGGTTACTCAATGTCTGGTTAACACTAATCTGCGGTTAAACATCGTTATCGACGTCTTCGACTCCATGCATCAAACAAATCAAATCTGCGGGGCCATTTGTGATTTTGGTGAAGTGTCAAATTCAACATTCGGTTCTTTCGCATCTGTAACACATTAATTGATTTAAAAGAATCCACTTTTCTTTTGTTAAAAAAACATATTATATGGAGTAAATACGCTATAATTAGTTTAAAAGTTCTATTTGCTTGCTGTTGACGTAAAAATTATAATAAGTTATTGAAGTACTTCGCTAATATTGTATAATATTTTGCGATGGAAGCATCAAATTTCTCTGAGAAATGTCAATTGTTTTAATTTTTTCGAATTAATATTAGTTTTAAATTTTACCTTTTTAATACAAGAAATTGTGATTAGAAAATCATCTACTACTACTACTACTACTATTTTTTTCTTATAAGTGCCGATGTAAGTAATTGAGTATTTAGACTGCTGTGTTATCATACTTTATTGTTTTATAAACTCTAAGTCCGCCTACGTTGAGGTTTTTGCTGCTACCGAGGGGTTAATACCCAGTTTTCTTGATGATTTGTAGGGTAAAATTTCGTGAATTACAATATTAAAATAGCCCCGTTCTTATAAAACGCATTTGCAAACACTTTTTTCATTAAACCAGCTTTGAGCCTACCATATCACTTAATCGTTTGTGATTCTACATACATGCGTAAAAAATGCAGAAAATAATGCTAAACGCTGTTTTTAAATAAAATTAAAATTAATTTGAAATTTATTACAATTTTTAAAAAATTTTACTCAAAAGTCTTATGTGTAAGAAAATTTCAAGTTATGGACTTTTCATATAACTAGGTCTATAAAGTTGATCATACTTCCTACAGTTCCGTTAGTAGGCTTACAATTTTTGTAATAGAATATCTTGAGCATAGGGTGGCTAACTTTCTTTCATCCGACACATTTTCTGATTTCAATGCGGTCGAATCTGAAGCTTTGTAAAAAACAACGGATTTCTTCTTAAATTTTCTGCATGTTTTTTCCTATAGTGACCAAACGATTTTGTGATTTATGAAGGCAAAACACTTTTGTTGGAGAATTATAGAAATCGGTTAACGTGGTCCAAAGTTATGCGGTAACATACATAAAACAAAAAAATATTCCGACGAATTGATTAACTACATACCCCTTTTTTGAAGTCAGTTAAAAATACATGGGGAAGAATTACCGAACACCGAGTTACCGAGTATCAAACTCGGTGGGAAGCCCCTATTACAAATTTGTGTTCTTGTATTGTGTAATTAAAATTCAGTACAAATCAGTACAAATTTTGAAAAATCAGGACATAAGCTTACTGATTGAAGAAATGAATAAAATTCAAGTTCATTTGTATTATATTTTTTTAAACTTGGTTAATTTTTTTTGGTAAACGGTTTAAGTCATTCAAAGGTACAGCCATTTTTTTATGAAAGTAAAATTGAATGTTTAGCGCAAATAATGCTTTTTGAATTGTTTTCCTAGGCATATGAGAAGTTGGTTAAAAAATTCGATTGATTAAGAAACTAAAATTTTTTACAAAACAAGAATCGAAATTTTACAAACCGACCACTTTATTTTGTTGCCCAATAAGTTCTCTAATGGCTTTCAAAAAATCATAAGGCTCGAATGAATGGTTGCTGAAATAGTTCAAAAAGTGTAAAAGCCTGCATAACAATTTGATTGCAAATAACTCGCTCAAAAATAAAATTAGCGCAAACTCTTTGGGGTCAATATTGCACAACATGTTAACTTTCAAAATCGGTCAATGAAATATAAAAAATCGAAAAGTCAACTTTTTCAGGTTTTCAGTCAATTTTGATGAGAAACAGAAATTGATTTTCAAGTATTCAGTTATAGCAAGCGCCAATGGAGCTTTGGCTAAAACAACAATTCAAAATGCTATGTACAAAATAGCTCTGTGCGCAGTGTCGCTTACGATAAAATTGTAGGAACCTTTGCGTTGTAATACCGTTGTGCAAGTTCGCTTGGGTATGCATATTTTATACCATAGCATTTCCTGAAAAATTCTTACACAGATATCTAAAATATAGATTTTATCGAAATAAATAGGCAATGCGCGCGTTTTTACTATGTTTTTCCCACTGTGCGTTGTTTGTATACGACCTGCTGTAAAAATAAACTATAAAGTAGTTAACAAATAGCCTATGTATTTATGAACAGGTATTTAATAGGGCCGGTCACATGTACTAGTTTTACAGTGCCCTGAATTTTATCATTGCAAAATTAATGATTAAAATTCCACGAGTTGCAAAAAAATATTATTTATATTATTATATATTCCAAAACTGGAAATTTTTCGCACAAACTGGGCTACATGTTTTGTGTCTACTAAAACTAGTTTGTTTACTGGTATGTAACGTATGTAAGATGGCCGCGGCATTCGATTATTTGTTTTAGTATACCTTATATGATTTAGCTGATATTTATTGAAATTTTGATCTCGCCCAGCGGTTCCATTTTTTTAGTAATTCTTAAAAAAGTAGTAATTTTCTGCTTGATGGAATTTGATTTCATACTAAATTATTTAGTAATTCTACCCAACACTGAGGGGAAAACATATTAAAATCAAATAGAAACGTAATTGATCTTACTATAAACGTCAACGAAAGTACTGTATATTGGTAAATATTCAATTCAATTACGCGCATATTAAAATTACCGCGTTCGTACTGAAAAAGCATCCGTGAAGTGAATAATCAAGACAAAAACTAAAAAAAATTAAAAATTTAATTTGCATGTTGCCTGCAGTTGAATTCGAACCCGACCATCTCCGGATATCAACAACTTGTGGCAAGCATCTTTGCGCACACAGCTACACCCAGGCACATAAATTTGCTTTCAAATGTTGAATATCCATCAACACCACAGCACGCGATTTGTACGGATAAACATGTATGTACTATGTATGTATGTGTGTGTTGTCACCGCCCTGCAAAAAATTGTGCGACTAATCTCTAAAGAGAGTATTCCGAGATTACTCTCGATCGGGTACAATTGGGCATTAATTAGTCCCAAATAGTCTCATACGGGTACTAATCGAGGTCAATTAGTCTCGACTCATCCCTTATGGGTATAATTGGAGATCAATTAGTCCCCAACTCATCTCTAACGGGTACTATTAACGATTTAATGATATGTACGCACTTAGTCAATGAAATTTCATGTGCGGCGTTGGCACACAGAGAGAGTATTCGCCTAACAAATCTGAGCACCCCGGTTCGAATCTCAGCTGGCTCAAATTTTTATTTTTATTTTTATTTTTTAAAAGTGACTAGTCGCTTTTTATACCCGTTTGGGTATAAAGGTGATCAATTAGCCTCTTCATAGGACATGCTCGAACAAAAGCGATCAGTTCATTCCATAGAAAGAGATCAAAAGTGGTATTAGTCGCATGCTCCTTTGCGATTACACCCGGAGTCATCCCGGATTAGTCCCATTTTTTGCAGGGCGCTCTCAGAGTGGCGCTCTG